CAAAACTCTATGTCCGACTTATAGGCGAGATATAAAAAGACTGGTATTATAGAAGGTCAATCTTTCTAAAATGAACTTCTAAAATACAACCGACTTATAGGCGGACCGACTTATAGGCGAGTATATACGAAGTATATACTTTGTCTACAGGAGATGTGTTGATCCCATTTATGTGTAAATCCTGACAATTGGAGTAGTTTTAATATAACACAGTAAATCCAAGAAGATGCTTGAGTTTCTGATTGACAATATCTATGTGGTTTTTGGAGACCAGGTATTCCAACAATCTATTGGAATTCCCATGGGTACAAATTGCGCACCGTTATTAGCAGGCTTATTTTTATATTCATATGAAGCAGAATTTATGCAAAATCTTATGTGTGAAAAGATGAAAACACTTGCTGTGGCCTTCAACTCGACATTTAGATATATCGACGACGTATTGTCAATTAATAATGGTAATTTCCATTCCTACGTCGATACGATGTATCCTGGTGAGCTTGAGATAAAAGATACCACAGAGTCCGACACTTCTGTTTCATACTTGGATATTTTACTTGAAAAGACACTAATTGTAATCTGACAACCAAGCTATATGATAAACGTGATGACTTTAACTTTTCTATCGTCAACTTCCCTTAATTATGCAGCAATATACCTTCATCACCTGCATACGGAGTATATATATCTCAGTTGATTCGATACGCAAGAGCAGCATGCTCTACGTATGAACAATTTCTAAAACGAGGTAAATTACTGACAAGCAAGTTAACGAAACAAGAATATCAGCAGTCTCGTTTAAAGTCATCATTTCGTCAGTTCTATGGTCGATACAATGACCTTGTCAGCAAATATAATTTATCATTCAGTCAAATGCTGACTGACGTTTTTCATACCAATTGTTAGTCCATTATTTATACACTGAACTGACGACGGATTTTTTCCGTTATTTTCTGATCCTAACAAGGAGCACACGGCGGGTAAAAATAAAAAATAAAAATAGTAAAAATAGTTCGTAATGAGGACCTTAGATCACTTATTTTAAAAGGTCCTAAATTTAGGGAACCCCGATCCTTCAACTGGCGTCGGAATTTCATAAATATTATGGATTCTATTGAAAATTACGCCAGACGATGGGCTAGATATGAAAAAGAAGACATTGACACCTTGTCAGAATGGATTAAATGTATCAGATCCATGTTAAAGTCACGTATTAAAAGATTGAGGGGCAAAGTGAAAACCATCTATCCTTCTGTGTTCAATAAACCAGAAGTGAAAAAAGAATTAGATAGAATACACGATCAGTACGTACTGGTTCCTGCCGACAAAGCAGGTAACAACATTGTCTTCGTTTGTAAAGCTCATTATATAAATTGCATTCTAGAAGAACTTGGATTTAATTCTACAAGTGGTAATCCTACTTATACATATTCTTCTCTATCTAAGGAAGAAATTCTTCAGAATCACCTGTCAGTTTTGAATACTTTTAATATTCCACAGAGCCAAAATGAATTTGAACTACCTTATATATATTGGATTCCGAAACTTCATAAGAGTCCTTACAAACAAAGATACATTGCAGGTTCCAGTAAATGTTCAACCAAGCCTCTTTCGTTACTTCTCACTAAAATATTGACACTAGTGAAGGAAAAACTTCAAGAATACTGTACAACTATATATTCAAGAAGTGGTGTAAATCAGATGTGGATACTTAAAAATTCTAAAGAACTTTTGGACAATTTGAAATCACAAGACTTTACAAAAATCAACAGCATAAAAACTTACGACTTTTCAACTTTATACACAACAATTCCCCACGACAAATTAAAATCCAGGCTTTTTGATATCATTGACAGCTGCTTCTTCAACAAAAATGGAACTCGTAAGTTTACTTACCTCGTCATTGGTCATTTGAAAAATTATTTTGTTAAAACAGATTCTGATTGCACACATAAGTACTCTGAAGTTGACATCAAGAAGATGCTTGAGTTTCTGATTGACAATATCTATGTGTTTTTTGGAGACCAGGTATTCCAACAATCTATTGGAATTCCCATGGGTACAAATTGCGCTCCGTTATTAGCAGACTTATTTTTATATTCATATGAAGCAGAATTTATGCAAAATCTTTTACGTGAAAAGAAGAAAACACTTGCTGTGGCCTTCAACTGGACATTTAGATATATCGACGACGTATTGTCAATTAATAATGATAATTTCCATTCATACGTTGACACGATATATCCTGGTGAGCTTGAGATAAAAGATACCACAGAGTCCGACACTTCTGCTTCATACTTGGATATTTTACTTGAAAAAGACACTAATGGTAATCTAACAACCAAGCTATATGATAAACGTGATGACTTTAATTTTTCTATCGTCAACTTCCCTTACTTATGCAGCAGTATACCTTCATCACCTGCATACGGAGTTTATGTATCTCTGTTGATTCGATATGCAAGAGCATGCTCTGCGTATGAACAGTTTCTTAAACGAGGTAAATTATTGACAAGCAAGTTGATGAAACAAGAATATCAACAGTCTCGTTTAAAGTCATCATTTCGTAAATTCTATGGTCGATACAATGACCTTGTCAGCAAATACAATTTATCATTGAATGAAATGCTGAATGACGTTTTTCATACCAATTGTTAGTCCATTATTTATACACTGAATTGACCACGGATTTTTTCCGTTATATCCTGATTATGACAACGAGCACACGGCGGGTGTGACCGGTCGGCAGGGGATGCTCACTCCTCCATGGCACCTGATCCCACCTCTGATGTTTCGGAGGTCCGTGTTTGCTCTGCACTTATTTTGTATATTTGTTTAATGGACGTTGAGATTGAATACTGTTCGTTATTTCCATATCCTTCTCCATCGACCAGTACTCTAGTGATGTGGAATGGCTCGCGTATGGAACCTCACGGGGAGTGTATTCTGAAATTAGTCAATCACAAGAACAGGACCAAGTACAAAGTCAAGTTCGTAGTTGTCAATGAGGACTTAACTCCAATCCTCGGACTCAATGCATGTACTCAAATGGGACTCATTACCATAAATCAGGACAAGTTCAAGCGAGTGAACTCTGTGTACTCCGTCTGTCCGACTGTTGCGTACAAGGATGTATTTGAGGACAAAATAGGACAACTCCCTGGAGTAGCACATTTTGAGGTTGACCCCTCAGTCTCACCAGTTATATCGCCAGTCCGGAAAGTTGCAGTCCACATGAAACCAAAACTAAAGGAAGCACTAGAGGATTTGACAAAGAAGGCCATCATAGCTCCTGTTAACAAGCCCACCGATTGGCTCAGTCACCTTGTATGTACCACTAAGAGAAACGGTGAACTCCGACTATGTTTAGACCCAGAGCATCTCAACAAAGCACTAAAACGTGAACATTTTCATCTTCTTGTACTCCGTGAGATGCTACCAGACCTGGCACATGCAAAGGTGTTCTCAACGTTCGATCTCCGTCATGGCTACTGGCATGTAAGGCTTGATGATGAAAGTAGTCACATGACTACATTTGACACACCATTCGGAAGGTACCGTTGGTTACGACTCCCATTCGGTACCAGTGTCTCCTCAGAGATGTTCCAGCGACGTCTATACCAAGCTATAGGTGACTTGAGAGGGATTCTGAACATCGCAGATGATGTACTACTCTATGGTGTTGGTGAGACCAAGGAAGAGGCCATGAGAGACCATGATGAAAAGTTAGTAGCATTTCTCCAGCGATGCCAAGCAGTTGGTATCCGACTCAATCCGAAGAAAATGCGGCTGAGACTCTCCCAGGTAGGATTCATGGGTCACCTTGTAACTGACAAAGGAGTACTACCAGACCCAGATAAGGTGGCTGCCATTCGCAACATGCCAGCACCAACAGACTTGCATGGTGTTCACAGACTATGTGGAACAGTGAACTTCCTGTCAGACTTCATTCCATCATTAGCTACAATAATGGAACCGATAAACATGCTCAAACGGAAGCACATTGAGTTCAGATGGGATGAACCCCAACGTAAGGCTTTCAACAAAGTGAAAGAAATACTATCCTCTGAAAATCATCTCCAATACTACGATGATAAGAAACCACTTACCATACAGTGTGATGCGTCCCAAAGAGGCTTAGGAGCAGCCCTTCTACAGGAAGGAAAGCCAATAGCATATGCTAGCCGAGCACTTACTGAAACTGAGGCGAACTATGCTCAGATCGAGAAGGAACTTCTGGCCATAGTTTTTGCACTGGAGAAGTTTCATCATTACACATTTGCTCGACATGTGGTGGTACAGTCTGACCACAAACCGCTAGAGACTATCATCCCAGGCTCTCTCTGGAAAGCTCCAAAACGCCTACAAGCAATGAAACTCCGACTCCAGAAGTATGACATAACTGTTAAGTACCACAGGGGCAAGGAGATGCACATAGCAGACACACTGTCACGTGCGTACCCGTCTGACACAGAAATGGGTAAACAGGATGACATAATTGACATCAATGTTATTCAACATATCTCCATCTCCCCTGAGCGTATCAAAGAGATACAACGCCACACTGCTAAGGATGAGACCCTACAGGCTCTTCGCAAGACTATTTTGGAAGGTTGGCCTGACCTCTTAAGTGAACTACCTCCAGTGGTAGGACGTTATGCATCCTACAGAAGTGAACTTTCATTTACGGATGGTATCATTCTACGTGGAGACAGGATCATAGTTCCTCAGACTCTCCGTAAAAGTATGCTAGAAAGACTCCATAGCTCTCATCTAGGTATCACTGGCACCCGTCGACGAGCAGCTGAATGTCTCTACTGGCCGAAAATGAGTAACGACATAAAGGAATTCATTTCACAGTGTGAGACATGCCGCAGCATGGAAGTGGCAAATACCAAGATGCCACTCTCGTCCCATGATGTCCCAGACCGACCATGGTCTAAGGTTGGTGTTGACCTTTTCACGCTCAACAGAAATAGTCAACAAGAATGAGATAGTTGATGTTCAACTATCTCATTCTTGTTGACTATTTCTCTGGATACTTTGAGGTTGATGAACTGCGCCAAACACTTGCAACCAATGTCATCCAGAGAATGAAGTATCACTTTGCTCGATACGGATTACCTGAGATTGTCGTCTCGGACAACGGTCCCCAATTCTCATGTCTCGAGTTTCTGAACTTTGCAGAAGAATATGACTTCAGACATCAGCCGAGTAGTCCTGGAAATTCTCAAGCCATCGGAAAAGCTGAGGCTGCAGTGAAAACAGCAAAGACTATCATCAAAAAAGCTCTGGCGTCTGGAAGGGATGTGTATCTGGCACTGCTTGATCTCAGGAACACACCGACCCAAGGACAGAACACAAGCCCTGTACAGCGCTCTCTTGGTCGCCGTACACGTACGCTCTTACCAATGACAACCACCCTACTCCGACCAGAAGGCATACAGACTGACGATATTCACCGTAAGATCCTGCAGCGAAAGGAAACACAGAAAAGCTATTTCGACAGAAAATCGAAGGCCCTCAAGCCTCTCGAGGAAGATGATGTGGTTCGTCTTCAACCATTCGTCAACCGTAAAGCCCCTTGGGCTAAAGGTCAAGTCATCAGTCGTCTAGATGACCGCTCCTATGAAGTCAGTTCTGGAGACCGTATATACCGGCGCAATCGAGTACACCTTAAGGCTACCAATGAACCTCCAGTGATGACCTTTTCACCTAACACACCTGTGCATGCACCGTCTGTAGTACCTACTCCAAAAACACCGACTAAACCTAATTCACCGGTTAAGGTCAGCCCACAGCCTGTGCAACCACATATCACTGTACCTCCGGCACCGATGCCAAACTTACCTGATGCTCGTATTACCACATCAGCTCCGAAGGCTGATTCAGCAGTGAAAACGCGATCTGGCAGGACAGTTAACCTACCTTCGCATCTTAAGGATTTTCAGATTGATGTTAAGAGATAAACAGTTTTGTATAAGCTTTATTATGTTTACATCTCAATGACAGTTTCATTTTTTTTTTGTAAAATGAGGAGGATGTTATATTCCTGTTATTAGTTTGACCTTTTTACTGACTTTCGTTTATTAGTAAAACCAGTTGATGCTGTATCATTATTAGCCAATCAGATAATTTCTTTTGTTTTATGTGCGAGTCTGTTATGTCATAGAATAAACGTGTTCAGCTTCCATGTGTTCATCACTCTGGGTCCATCGTCTATCAAATACCTCATAATCTAACACAAATGTAGGTGACAATTTTTGCAAAAGTAATGGAACATGCCAACTTAGCTTTGTTGTTAGGATTTCCAAGTAAAATATCCAAATAAATAAATGTGTCCATGCAGACTCTGTAGTATCTTAAGCTCACTGAGATATATCGTGTCTACGTAAGGCAAGGACTATTAAAATTGACATTGGAGGTCTCGTGTAATTTAAATCCATTAGTCTACCTTTCAAATCTAAATTTCCAATTTTATTTCACGATGAAATGGATTATAAGGAATCGCTCTCTAGTTTGTGGAGTATATAAAATAATTAGTTTAAAAATATTAAACTGAAATATACATGAAGATAACGAATAGATTTCAAGCTCAAAAGTCCATATAAAAATACAATATGAGCAGAGCAAACAGGGACCTTTAAAACATCAGAGGTGGGATCAGGTACCATGGGGGAGTGAACATCCCCTGCCGACCGGTCACACCCGCCGTGTGATCCTTGTCATTATCGGGAAATAACGGGAAAATTCGTCAATTCAGTGTATATAATATAATGGACTAGCAATTAATATGCAAAACGTCAATCAGCATTTTACTCAAAGACAAATTGTATTTGATGACAAGGTAATTGTATCGACCATAGAACTTACGAAATGATGATTTTAAACGAGAATGGTGCAATTTTTGCTTCTTTTCGAGTATGTGGGAGGTATTTTTACTCCCGTGAGTGCTTATCTCGAGATAGATTATTCTAACTAAGTGACAGACCCTGGATCAAGTTTGATTTTTTTAACAATGAAAAATAAGCTCTTATGATCAGAGCATGCATGTATGTCTAATGACATTCAAACGCTCTTTTCTTTGTAAGGCAGTTCTACTTAATTCAAAGACATTTCATTTATGAACAAGTTAGGGGACGACCATTTGATCCTGAGGGGGGGGGGGGGGGGGGGGGCTGGCAAATTTTTTTGAGACGAATTATTTATTTTCATACCTGTCGAGGACAGATTATTTATTTTCAAGATTATCAAGGACAAATTATTTATTTTCTTCTATGTCTTACCGTACCTTAATCAATTGATTCTAAAAGACTTTATCATTTATATACCATATTCGGATACAGGATTTGGGGAGGGGACAGGTATAACTTTCTTTAGGCAAGAGGTCTGGGGCCGCAGTAAGGGTCCCAGTGGGTCCTGGGCAAAGCCCTGGTGGAGGCCAAGGGAGTACACCCCCCCACCCCCCGAAGCTCTTGGGGTTTCGTGTATTTTAAGAGTAAAACCAGGCACTATTATAGTGGTATTGGTTATTATGAACCAAAGTATGACATAATTAATACTGGTCATACCGTACTTTGAATGAAGTAAGTTCAGGGAGCAAAGCCACCTGAAGCTCTTGGGTTTTTCAATATGTATAAGAGTAAAACTTTTGTAGGAATTGGTTAGATGTGTACCAAAGTATGGCATTATTAAGTCATATCATACTTGGAATGAAAAGGGCCCAGGGGGCGAAGCCCCCTGAAGTTCTTGGGTTTTTGTGTATTTTAAGAGTAAAACTAGGCACAAAAATATTGCTATTGTCCCAAAGTATGGCATTATTATTATTATTCGTATCATACTTTGAAATTTTAAGTGAGGGCTTGGGGTTGGTCATATGTACGTCCCCCTTAAATCCGCCAGTGTATATTTTGTATTAATTTATCTGGAAAGTATAATTATTCGACAAGAAGATTTATCTTTTGTGGTGTATAAGAATTAGTTTGTATTTACAGTTATTCGTTACACCTACTGAGTGCACATTGTCATGTTGATAAACTGACTTAAGTACTAGTATCCAGTCTGGTAATCTGATTTTAAATACTATTTGGTTCTAAAATGGCGAGCGAAGCGAGCCAAAAAAATTTTTGTATTCAAAACTTTTGAGATTAAATTACACGTAAATAAAAAAGGTATTTTTACAATATTTAATTATCAGAAGTCAAGGTCAGATTATTCATTTTCTTTGTAGTGGAGGACAGATTATTTATTTTCAACATTTTCAGGGACAGATTATTTATTTCCAAAATCTGCCAGGCCCCCCCCCCCCCTCAGAATCAAATGGTCGTCCCCTTATACGGAAATGTCCACATTTTGAGAAAACTTTTTCATATACAGGATATTATTAAACGGCACCCTGAGGAGAAAAGGGGATCCTGGTAGGGAACATATATTGCTTATGAAACACTCTCGGAATGATTGTTCGTAAAGTCAATCTATCTTGGACACTGTCTTAAAGATACAAGAACCTCTTTTCTAGATTTGCATATACATACTGCATCAATCAAAACCAGAAGTCTCTGTCGAGACTGAAGCTCTACTGGTTTGAACTTATAGCAAAGGAAGAGAAAGTACTTAAGCAGCTGGGATTTGAAACTTTATAAACAGCATTAAATAGAATAATGATTGTTGATAAAGTCTCTTTATGTTCTTAGTGTAGTCTACTTGTGTGCCAAGTTATACTAAAATCAGACCAAAACTGTAGGAGGAGTAGCATTTTGAAACAATTTCACAGAAATTTCTATTTTTAGTAACCACGGCAACACCATTCATCCAAATCAAAAACCGATACACAGAATTATGTATCTTAGTGTAGTCTACTTGTGTGCCAAGTTATACTGAAATCAGACCAAAACTGTAGGAGGAGTAGCATTTTGAAACAATTTTACAGAAATTTCTATTTTTAGTAACCACGGCAACACCGTTCATCGAAATCAAAAACTGATACACAGAATTATGTATCTTAGTGTAGTCTACTTGTGTGCCAAGTTATACTGAAATCAGACCAAAACTGTAGGAGGAGTAGCATTTTGAAAGAATTTCACAGAAATTTCTATTTTTAGTAACCACGGCAACACCGTTCATCGAAATCAAAAACCGATACACAGAATTATGTATCTTAGTGTAGTCTACTTGTGTGCCAAGTTATATTGAAATTAGACCAAAACTGTAGGAGGAGTAGCATTTAGAAAAATTGTTTACAGACAGACGGACAGACAGACAGACGGACAGACGGACGGACGCCGGACGCATTACTATCGCATAAGCGCTTCTGGTCTCTGACCAGTAGAGCTAAAAAAAACTAATTGTTCTACAATAAAAACGAATGCTCCCCCTTCCCGATCGGAACTTAGTCAATATTGTCTTGATTTTAAAGTTCAAAAATCAAAATACTTACAGTCGTCGAAAACAACTTTCACGTTTTCTCATCTTGTTTCTGTGAACCTTGATCTTTTAAATATATGACAGTGACCTTATATATATAACTTGACGAAAAATTTTGACACATAGTAGGCTTTGAGTAACAACATGTTTATGATTTTTTGTTTTTAAATATGATTCGGGTAGTTTTTATCTCCTCTACTGGTCAGAGACCAGAAGAGCCTATGCGATAGTTATGCGTTCGTCTGTCTATAAACAATTTTTCAAAATGCTACTCCTCCTACAGTGTTTGTCTGATTTCAATTTAACTTGCCACACAAGTAGACTACACTAAGATACATAATTTTGTATATCGGTTTTTGATTTCAATGAGCGGTGTTGCCGTGGTTACTAAAAAATAGAAATTTCTGTGAAATACATTTAAAATGCTAATCCTCCTATAGTTTTTGTCTGATTTCAATATAACTTGACACACAAGTAGACTACACTAAGATACATAATTCTGTTTATCGGTTTTTGATTTCGATGAACGGTGTTGCCGTGGTTACACAAAATAGAAATTTCTAAGAAATACTTTCAAAATGCTACTCCTCCTACAGTTTTTGTCTGATTTCAATATATCTTGGCACACAAGTAGACTACACTGAGATGCATAATTCTTTTTATCAGTTTTTGATGTCGATGAACGGTGTTGCCACGGTTACTAAAAATAGAAATTTCTGTGAATTACTAGGCTACTCTAAGTAAATACAGTCTTAGTCTTATTATTATATAATTTAGCATGCAAGTAGACTACACTGAGATACATAATTATCAGTTTTGTGTTTTTGATTTTGACGAACGATGTTGCCATGGTAACTAAAATTTAAATTATGTAAAACTTTATTAAAAGCTACTCCTACATTTGTAGTCTTATTGCAATCTTGCCACAAAAAGAGACTTGATCAAGGATCATTTTTCTCCTCTTTTTATTGCTTTTGTAAAATGTTTTTTTATGTCCCAACTGGTACTTTTCTCTTCCTTTATTATAAGTACAAACCAGTTGAGCTACAGTCTCGACAGAGAATTCTGGTTCCTATCTGTTTTCTCTGACATCGCTGTGATCTAATCAAGAGTCTGTGTCATATAGAGGAACAATATCGCAGAGAAAATAGGGGTCAGTGTGCATCTTACTTAGGTACGGTTCAATTCAGTTGACCTATTTGCATTTTAGTTTTATTTCTTTTATTAATCACTTTAACCTTTATCATATTCTATCACATGGAAGAATGTCTATAATTAGCTCACCTAAGCCGAAGGCTCAAGTGAGCTTTTCTGATCACATTTTGTCCGGCGTCCGTCTGTCTGTCTGTCTGTCCGTCTGTCTGTAAACTTTTCACATTTTCGACTTCTTCTCAAGAACAGCTGGGCCAATTTCAACCAAACTTGCCACAAAGTATCCTTGGGTGAAGGAAATTCAAATTTGTTCAAATGAAGGGCCACGCCCTCATCCAAGGGGAGATAATTGGGAATTAATGAAAATTTGATGGCATGTTTTAAAATCTTCTTC